AGTGTCCATCTCTGTGTGCTGACACCGAGCTCCTTTCAGACCTGGGACAAAGAGCTGGAGGCCCTTGCTCAATCCTATGCAGAGAAATGCATCTGGGACCACAACAAGGAGAGGGGCCGACGGGGAGAAAACCTCTTTGCTATGGCTCCAACCCTGGAACTGGAATTCGCCGTGGAAGATTGGAACGGGGAGGAGAAATTCTACAACTTGACAACATCCACGTGTGTCCCTGGGCAGATGTGTGGCCACTACACCCAGGTACCAGCTGCTGGGGTGGAGGGGAGGCTGCTCAGCAGACCTGGGTGCCAGATTTTCTCAGACAGAGAGACAAGGTCTGAGTGTTTCTTCACAGGGAAGAAGCAGAGATGGTGGTGGATCCTGAATGCCAAAGCAGCATGAGGATGTGGGATTTGGGGCACACTCTGTGGGATGAGGAGGTCTTTGGAGCAGCCTTTAAGGCCAGGGGACAGGTTCCTTCATCCAATCCCCTCACCTCCTGCCTGGTCTTTGCCTTAGGTGGTCTGGTCAAACACACATCAGATCGGCTGCGGGGCACATTTTTGTGAGAAGATCGATGGAATTGAAACAGAGAACATGCACCTGCTTGTTTGCAACTATTATCCCCCGTAAGTCCCAGGCCCTGCATGGATTGGTGCATCTCACTGGGCTTTCTGTGGGGAAATGCTCTGCCTTCAGTCCTTATGTCACAGCAGGGTTTGTCCTTGGTCTGAAATAGAAGTTCCAAATAATGCTTCTGTTATCTTGGGTTGGTCCCACAGTAAGGAAGGGTTGTCTGGAAGTCCTGGCCCATGATTGTGAGTGCTGAGGGCTGGTTCAGTTCCTGGCAGACACTCAGGGAGGGACCTTCTTCCCCAAGAGCTGCTGAAGGCTGAAGTGGCCGTAGCTGAGGGTACAAACAGCTCCCTGCCCCGGGCCCTGTTCTCCCCTGCTGGCAGCAGCCGTGGGGTGGAGAAGCCCTTTTGCAGCAGCAGGAAGGGTTGGACGCGGGAGGAGAGCTGGGTGCCCCTTCCCAGCCCTGGCACCGATTGCTTGGAGCTGCTGAGAGCACCAAGAGCAGCCGGGGGCTGCAGACATTCCTGGGGGTCTGGAGCAGAAGTGAGACAGAATTCCCTGTCCCAATGCCCGTGCCCTGCTCTGTTCTGAGGGGGTGAGGGATGTGCTCCATGGAGTTCTCTGCCCTGGCTTGAGCTGCCTTGGGGTCAGGCTGGG